TGAAACCAAACTTCGGCAGTGGTACTATTATAGGTAAGCAGTACTTTTGATCAAAGCTGCTAGCCTAGGTCCTAGCCTCCTAGGTGCTTTCAGACCTTGAAGATACCTAGGTCCTGAAGTGCCCGTAACATCAACACGAGCGCATACCGCATTAGGTTCGTCGTGACCTTACTCGGATCCTAGCTCAGAGCCCTGGAACAAACTTGAGAAAGCCGTCCAACTTCAAAACGTGAAGGCTGGAGCTCAGATTTGTAAGGACGTGATCGGTAGGCAGGTGCTTCAGAGTCTGCTCTCAAGAAACGGGCCAGCAAACGTGCAGCGCTTCTATATATACGTTCAGTAGGTTCAAGTGAGTACTGTTAGGAATACTCAAGGGCTGCGCGGAAGGATTTCGTCTTGCTTGCTTGACGTGGGATCACAGCTTCAAAATTGTCAGCTACTTTCATCGTGCACCTGATCTATGCAGTTCGCATCTGATCTCTGCACAGTCTATGATCTGCCTCAGCCCCCAGCTTTCGAAAAGTCGGACTAGGAGCCATCTCGCTCTAAGGTTTGCGCTGTCAAAATACGGTCTCCCGTTTCTCGATCGGTGAACAAAGGCAGCAGGATCTGTGAAGTTCGGAGCTTGCAGAGACACCATCTAGCGTAAACTGTACTTTGCAGACAAACTGTCCAGCTGCATGCAACCTTTATTGAGCCTAGTTTATAACAAGCTTGACCCCTTCATTATCAAGCGATCCGTGGTTGCCTGTATCTGTCAGCTCCAACACGCCAGCTGTGCCCTGTTTCCAATGGCTGCAGCCCAGTCGCTCTCTCACCGCGCACTGGCATCAGCCCCCCAATTGCATATCGCAGCGCAGGCAGTCAAGGACCCGCCGCCTTTCCACAATCAGCCGCCCTTCCCCCCTACACTCTTCCCAAGCCCTCCTGGGACAGCTTTAGGCGCTCGGTGCCCCCCCCATTGGGTTGTCAAATCATTGCCAGCTGGCGCGCCCCAAGCTGAACACCAGTCTCTTGATAAGTATCCTCCAACAGCAGACTTCTCTGTATCAAACACCACAGATCTGCCGCCGTTGATTCAGTCACCTACCAGGCAATCGATCCTTTGGCAAGAGGTGGACTCTTTGGATGCTGCTCAGAAGTACGGGGGATCGATCTGGGATCAGGAACCAGAGGGGGGGGAGGGGGAGAGACCATGTGTGACGGTCCAGCCAAGCACAGGGGACAGCAAAGGTATGGGGCTTCTCCCAACGAGTGTCTCAGTTGAGGGTCTGCTTGATGCTGCCGCCTGAAGCGTTGTTGTCGTCTTGACTTTGCACACTGTGGTGATTCTGCTTGCATCTATTGTCATTTCTTCTGATGGCTTCAGGAGCTAGAGTGGCTCATCAGACTTCTAAGGCCGATAGCACGTAGCTCAGTTTCATGTGTGTCCATGCATTGGAACTGTCTTTCCAGTGGCCTCTCTGTCAGAACAATTGCTGGTATCTTACTGGGTGATAAGAACCTCTTCTGTGGCTACACACATTCTCAGCTCTTTGTTCTCCTCTCAGAGCCAAGTAAATTGGAGTCATGCTGATCTTTGCTGCCCCTTGGATTTCAAGCCCCAGCTGTCCCGTGCTCTTACTGTCTGAGCGTTCTACTTGTGCAGCAGCCTCGGAGGATGTTGAGTGGCCCAACCTCCAGGTGCACCCCATGCCTAGTTACAGCCCCGCCAGCTGGCACCCTGTCCAGCCCATGCATCAGGTGAGCCCCATAGTGATACTTCAAGAATTGCCATGCTGTGCCTAGCGACCTTCTTCCTTCAGTCGCAGACAGTCAAAATCACAACTCCTGCTAATCACGACACTGCCAAAGGCCCGCAGACCAAGCTCTCCTTTTCATCCTGAACTCCTCACCTGCTTTCAGCATACCGTGTGTTGTCGATGGATACTCAATTCGTTCATGATGTGCCACTTGAAACCACGTTTGAGAGCTTTTCCTTACTTTGCAACCTGAAGGAGCACAACCCCACCCTTCACTACGTTGGACAGAGGCAGCATTTCTATCTAGTCTGCTATCTTTGATCTTTGAAAAGCTTATTCCCTGCTCCCTCATTTTTTACCAGAGACTTTTCTTTTCTCGTTTGTCTCTCAGGGAGAAGTAGGTAAGCTCTCTTCCGGGGGGGTTGAAACCAGAACGCGTTGAGCTTTGAAAAGGGTAGTTTTTTAGAACGACATTCAATGCAAGCCCGGCCAAGCTCTGACCCCTCCATCTACAATCCTCGTTAGCAGCCCGTTCCACTTGCACTTCGTGTTTTAAAAGTCGTGTAAGAGTCCTTTCACAGCTGCCAGCTCCTGCTCAGTAACGGGCGGCCTGGCCCGGGCTATCAGGATCCCCCTCCTTCCCGTCCTTCCCGTGTCACCTTTCTAACTTCCCGTGCCCCTTTTCTGACTCTCGAGAGCGATGTATCATTTTCCTTTCCTCTCCCGCGCACTTTCTGATTCTTTCCTACCCTTCTTTGTGGGATGTCGCGCGATGTTGCTGCTCCCCGCTCTCTCCCTTTCTGCCTCGGCCCCTCTCCATCCCTGCCTCTGGAAAGAAACCCGACTCCTCTCTAACTGCTCCCGTTTCGTCTCTTGCAGGAGTCGGCCCAGAGCTGCATGAGCAACGCCAGTCTGGCCGCGGTGCTGTCGCCCCCCTGGCGCATGATGCTCCTCAGCGACGGGTCGGTGACGCGCCACCTGCAGCTCCTCACGGCGACCAAGACCCGCGCCGACTGTTTCGAGATGCGTGACATCGGGCACTCGCTCGAGGGCCTGCCCAGCGGGGCGGAGCTCATCCAAGCGCCACGTGTCCAAAGACAGGTGGGCAGATCACGTGACACAGGCATTTGCATCGGTCCTGTGCTTCGACCTGTCAACCGCAGGTCAGACAAATCGGACAGGAAACCCCTAAAACACCACGGCGCCACGCAATCATTGTCGACACCTCTTTTTCATACGAAGCCAGATTCTTGAGTCGGTATCCAGTCTGAAGGAAAATCACCTCGGTATTCTGGGTTAAGTCCTCGTGTCAGACCAGCTAATCGGTTTCCGCTTGTGCAGGTTTTCTTGGAGAACGGCCAAGGCGAGCGGCTGGTGTACGCGGCGTCCTGGTGGGCGGCTTCGGACGTCGGTACGTACCTTTCGGACGTCCACGCGCCGATCTGGACGAACCTGATGGCCGCCAAGGCGCCGCTCCACCGGAGCATCTCGTGCGTCTATCTGGGCTACTCGCCCGACCTCGAAAGGTGAGACGTGCCAAAAACTTGGTTAGAACCCAAGAGAAGCCTTCTACAAGATTGTCCTTGCCATTTTCAGCGTTTTCCCTCCCCCTGCCCGCTCGGCCGCCCTTAATGGCAGGTTTTGATGGCAGCCTCGAAGCGCCCAGTCGACGGGAACTTTTCGACGGACGACGAAGGCTAGTCGGTAAAAGGGAATGGTTTTCAGGAAGTCAGCCCTTTTAACAGTTCTGGTCCAAGGGCGGAACCCGCTGTCCTTACTGGGATTAGGCCCCAAGGGGTAATGCTCTCAGCACTTTCTTGAGCGATGAGATTGCCGAAATCTGGCTTCTGAGTCGGCTCTATTTAGATTACTGAGGCGAGTAAGTACCGTACTTCTTCAACTGAAAGACTACATCAACAGACGCCAGATGGGCAGAGCTCGAAGCCGTTCCTCATTTCGAAGTCTGCCCAACACTGAGCCTTTCCTCGAGCTGTCCATCTTGACTCAAAAGACCTTTGCCTTATTTCGATGCCCCCTCTCGTGGTACTGAGATTTCGTCACACTTCCGACGCACCTAATGAGACTCTAGATTTCTGGAAACGCTGAGATCCTTAGGCGGCCTACAAGCCTGTCTCCCTCTTCATGGTCTTTGGACCGTTGACATGCCTGCTGACGTCTACTCTATTGACTGCCCGAACGATAGGAGTCTGGAAGTTAAGGCAGTGCACAAGACGGAAGGATGAAGTGGAACGTAAAAAAATGAGGCTGAGCGCTTGAGTTCAACGTGCAGAGAGTTCGGCATGCGCGGCCCCTTTTGGGCTCGTCACTATACGTTTTACGTCGAAGGGCGCCCGCTGACGCTCATCTACGAGGTCTTTTCCAACGCGCTGCAGAAGTACCTGGGACCAGTCGCGCAACCGGTTGGCAAGATTTGATCGCGCGCTGTGGGAGCCAGAGTGGCCTCGTTTGTACAGTCAGAAATGCGCGGTGCTTTCACCTCGTGCGCGACGCCGGGTGCTTGACGGCGGAACTCGTCTAAATTTTTAATGATTATAGGTTGGGACCTCGACGGAAGGCACGCGCTAGATACTGTAGGCACTTATACTAATTGGTACCATGATCCTTTACTTCGACCATAACAGAAGAGTTTTTCTCTGTTGTAGGCCACATTGGCTTGGCTCGGCAGAATCGCTCGCTTATTGTAAAACAACTACGTACGTCTGGGCCGAACATTTTCAGAGTCAAGTACAGGGGGGTACAGAGTTGCTCTGTTTCTGATTATATAAGGTGGTATAACGATCGTAGAGGTAAGCTAGTCGTCAAACAAATTCACAAATTCAGAAAGGCCCGCGGCCCGGCAAAGTCGGCGTAGACGGTAGTAGCTTCAATGCAACTTACTATAGGCTTCTGAACCTAAGCGGCTGCTATATTCCAATATAGACAGCAAGTACCTGAATGAGCTTTTGGATTAAGACTCATTACAGGATTCTCCAACACTTGGAGGGGCTGTCGAGCTCACAAGCTTAACTTGCTCGTGGTTGGAGCTTTAAGAATTAGAGATGCAGTGTATTATGCAGCAGGCCCCGGATAGCGCCAGACCCGTTCCGGTCAATCTCGGTGCTCTGACCGTCAGGGTCGGACCCGCGGCCGGCAGCAATGCATTGTGTTGGACGAGGACATATCCAAGGGGCCGCCAACGATCACACATGTGCTGTACGCTTGACAGCAGCCTATCGCAAGCAGCATTCCTCATGCTCATGCCGGCCATATAGCTGGCCGCCACACATGCATGGGAGTGGCAGCTTCAGATCGATTTGCAGCTCTGCCATACATTCAGTGAATCTGCGGCTGGACATTTTGCCAGTGAAGCTCGCGGTATATCGCCGGGACTCTGCAAATAGTTCCGACTCATTCTGCCGCGCCGGTATCAAGTACTCAAAGCATCATGCACCGCACCATGCATCGCGCATCATCATGGTGGTCTTCTAGCTTCACGGGGCCCGCGTACTGAAGGACGGTGCCGGTACGGTCCTGGCCGCTGCCATGCAGACATGGCCATGCGCACGCGAGGGACTGCTCATGAGTCATGGGACTTAGGAACCGATGATTGGGGTCCGGTCGTTTACTACATGGATGTGATGGGCAATCGAGGTCTAGCGAAACCGCGACTCGCTGATTGTCGTACAGATTATACGGACGGGATCCATCGTGCCAGGCCCTCAGAGACAAAAGCGATCACCGGTGATGCAAGCACTATACGGTTTGCAAGTATCTATCAGTCTCGTTCATTCGTAAGAGCTGGAGTGCGGGGCGAGTGAGTGCGATCTGCAGTTAAATGTAATGACTCACCGGACACGGCATGTGCGACATACCAGCATGTTAGATTGGCTGGACAAGTTGGCCCTGTTGTTGACAACAAGGTCAGTGTTAGACCGCGGCGACAAACTTCGATCACGATTAAGAAAAGGCGTCCAGCATTTGACCTCTCTTCGATCACATACTGCTGGCATCTGGGTCAAGCGGGAAAGGCTTCCTTTCTCTGCCAATGTACGAAACGCACCAACTCCCTGATTGTTTAACCCATCAACTCATCTGGCCACTTTTGAGATCCCCAATGGCACGTGACTTTGCCGCCGTGTGACTTTGCCGCCGTGTCCTACTTCTTGGACGAGCCAAGCGCGGTCCAGACTCGCCGGCAGCGGACGGCCTCCTTGCGGACCGCACGCTTTGGGTCGTCCAAGGCGCCCAAAATCGCTTTGTGCACCTGAACATAAACGACGAAGTGAGCTTCCATGACGTCGCAGATGTATTCGTCATCTACGACGTTATGTTTGCCACCTCTCCCTCCAGTCGTCAATCTTGTAAGCAGCGTTTCTCGACGACTTGTCAAAGATGCCGCCTTCCGCTCCGCGCTCCTCAGAGCCCAAATCGACTCAAGTACGTCTTCGCCGGATGCACGGCTTGTTAATATACACGAAACACGGGGAATGGAGGACAGAACAGATCGCAAAAGTCGCCCTGCGAACTCTGAATCCACCAGTGCGAGGAGTTAAGGTGATACAACTGCCGTCCTTCCAAGTCTACTCGCGCACCACGCTCTTCAAGAAAGAAAGACTAGGGAGGTAGACGGAGCAGCAATCGAGAAGCAATTCGGGGAGTCAACAACGACGGCGGCAGAACCTTCTGAAAGATTCTCGCCGCACCTCGTTCCGCAACGGATACACCCTTGTGAACGGCAGGTCCGCCGCAGCCACGAGCGCCTGGAGGGCCGTCTCCCGGACGCTCGCGGACAGTCCGTACGCCGTCAGCCGTACGAGCGTCCGTACAATCGAGGGCACGTGCTCGCTCGCGTGCTCGCGCGCAGGGCCGCCGTCCGTCAGGAATGACGTCAGCGTGAGGAGGTCGGACAAGACGAGCGGGGCGTCGGACGCGGGGCGAGGGGCGCGGACGTCCGAAGAGGCGGCCAGGGCGGAAAGGGACTCGAGCAGTAGTAGGAGGACCTAAAGGGGAGCAGAACGTTAGTTTGCTGCCGGTTGAGCTGTTGTGAAGAGCGCGACAGTCTGACTACTGAAAACCGGTGGGGCTGAAGAACCAATTGACTTCAGTGGAGTTGTCTGCACATATGAAAGCTACTCCGCAAAGAAAGGCTGCCGGATGAGTGCCACGCTGTTTATGGCCAGCATACGCTGGATCTATAAACAAATGGTCGCATTCCTCTGATTCAATTTATCCGGAGATTTTGTCTCATCCAGTATAAACTGAGGATATTCGTGGAAAGCCTCGCCTTTGTGTGAGTGATCTACGGTTAGGCCTGGTTCTGAGAACAGCGGTGAGCACACGTGCAATGGCGGTCAAGCTGGGAGGTGTGTCAAGCAAACGTGTTTCGAACACGAAGCAAGCTGCATCTGCGCATTCGCGACATCGAAACGGGCTCATCGTTGATGAACTTACCGGCGTAGCGAAGGCGGTAGATGCAACGAGTGGCCTGTCAAACCTTCACTCAACACTGCCCTTCCATCAAGCCGCACAAGGGCGGCAGAATAGCAAGCCTCCTGAAAGCTGATTCCTTCGTGCAGATCCATCGAAATTTCGCAGGCACGCAAAGCACGCTCAATCCAAGTAGGCATTACGACCCACTACAAAGACTGCCCACCTTTTCCGCCTCAACCGCCAGCGCCGCCGGTGGCGTCCCCCTCAAGAGGTGCGCCAGGCCGCGGTAGAGTGGAAGGCGCTCTTCCGGATTCTTCGCCTTCCGAACCGCCTCCGAAAACGGCCCCAGGCTCATGGTGAATAGCCGCTGCCGATACAGCGGCTTGATCTGAGCGTGCGTCTCCTTGCTCAGATTCAGGTCCGTGCTCGATTCGGCCGGATTTGAGGAGCGCCGTTCTCCGGCGATGACGCCAAAGCCCTCGGCTGCCACGTCAGCAAGCTGCGCCAGGCCCGCTAAATCGTACGACGCACTGGGCTGGTCGTCTTGGGGTGACCCGGCACTTGGGCTGAGGCTTTCCCCCGTGCTTCTGGAAGTGTGTGCTTCAGGCTGGAAAGAAGAGAGCGTTGCAGCGCTGACACGTGGCATTCCGTTCCTTGCCCCCTCTCCCGGACCGCCTCTCCCGTCTGCTTTGCCACTTCCCCCCGAGGACGCATTCACACCACCGGCCGTTCCGTGTGCCTTTCCCAGTGTGAACAAGAGCTGAACCAGAGCCCCGACCACATCACCCGTCCGCTTATGCCCGCGCATTGCGAGCGCCTGACCGACAACCGCCAAAACTCGCACACCCCGTATCTGCGCTTCCAACCCCTTCTGTCCCGTTTCCGTGGTAGATTCCGGTAACAGCGGAAGTAACCTCTCGTCAAGAACTACTCTAAGCGCACTCTCCAGATCGAGACTTCCGTCCCCGCCAGCCAATTTCTGGGGCGACCGTTCTGGGGGGTTGGTTGGCTCGGGTCCTCGAGGGGCGGTGTTCGAAGCAGCGACCGCGCCCCCCAGGCGCGACAAATCGAGCCTCTGCGCGACCCGCCTCGCCCGCGGCGGGATGTCTCCAGGTGACGGCGCTCGGAAAACGGCCGTCGTTCCGGGGGGGTCAGGAGAGGGCCCCGGTAGCCCCCCGGCCGGGGAGAAACCGGGTTGCAGAATCGACACTGGGGTGGTGTCAAAGAGCACGCTTTGAGGGGAGGAGTCGAGGAAGATCGCCGGGGAGTAATCTGAAGTGGCCGCAGAACTTGGCGGGCTGACACTTGGCAGCGCCTGAGTGGACGCTGGGGTCACGGGGGATGGCGTCATCCGGGCTGCAGGCTGTCCGTGAGGAGGGGTTGACACACCGAAAGGCACGAAAGGCTGGCCGAGGGTTTGGGTTCTTAAGGCGGTGTCAGAAGGCGTGCTGGTTGCCGGTAAGCGTGTCTCGTGCGGTGAATTTGCTTCCTCCGAATAGGGCCGAGTGCTGACATTTTCAAACCTCCCTTCCGGCTCGGCTTCTGTTCCCCCCCCCTGGTCCAACTGGTCACTTGCCCCACCGGCGTGGAAAGCGGACAAGGATGTCTCCTGAGCTGCCACGTGGCGAACGCTTTGGGCCGGCCACTTTTTGAGGAGCGAAGCCAGAGCGACGGACGCTGCGTCCGCGATGAGAGCGTCCGAAGACTGGAGGGCCAGGCTCAGGAGGCCCTGTAGAACGCGGGGTTGGCCTGCTTCGGCGGAGACGCTGGGGCGGAGGGCGACGAGGATGGCGAGAACGGGGCCCGACCGCCAGACCTGGCAAGAGAACGGTGGCATTGTCAGGGGAGGATTGCGTGTGCCCCAATTTTCAAAGTGGTATCACGAACTGCTGATCGCCTAACAACGCTGAGAATGGTCACGTACACTAGGAAAACAAGCACACGGCCGCATTCAAAAACGTCTCCTGCGGTTTGACTCGGAGCCGGAAGACAGACTCTGCGATTGCAGTGAACTTGAGGGCGTACTCAAATTTGGAAGTTGTGCCAATCTCTGGGCGGTTCAGTTACTGCAAAATTTTGTGAAAGCAACCCAAGCCTTTCTTGCCCAAGATCACGGCACAATGCCCAAGTACAGAGTCTCTCCCAGCTTTGAACGATGTTGCAAAGCCGCCTTTTGCGGCTTCAGCTGCGCTTGTGCAACCTCTTTTCCACTGAGGTGTCAAACCAGATTTGCCGCCTTATGCAAAGGCTTTCCCTCACCCCGTCTCCTTCTAAAGCCTGGAAGAACCCTCCTGCGGCCTTCTGCAATAGCGCCGCTTGATTGGCCTCGGTACAGATTCGCATGGCGACGCACAGCGCCCCGAGCGCTGCCGCCAAAAGACCGTCGTTCGGACGGCGGGGGGACGGCCACGTGGCAAGGCGCTCGAGTAACGCGTGGACGAAATGGAGGACGAGCTCTTGGTCCGATTCGTCCGAACCAAACCTGGGGCAACATAGAGAGTGCTTGCGATGGTGTAATAGCTTCTACTCAACGGAGAGTGGTCAGGTGTTGGTCTCCTGGACGCAAAAGGAAGCCTGGGTGCGAAAGCTCATTAGAGGGAAGCCTGGATATGCATCCGAAAGAAGATGTGTAACTTCTCAAAAGAAACGAAGACGAAGCGACTTTAGGGAGAACTATCCTCTAAACCCCTCTAGCTCTCCGACATCCGCAAGGCTGAAAAACTTACTCCTCGCAATTGAAACCACTAAATCTTGGATCGTAACCAGGGCCTAGAACGCTTTGCCCGAGAGCTTCTTTCAGAATCCGGAATTGCAAACCTGGCACACGTCAACAACGCATCCTAGGAACGACTTCGCGGCAGGCGTGGACGTAGAAAAAGCAATGCTTTCTTGCAACACAGTATGGCGCACTGAGGACGTCAGACTCGTCGTAAGAGTATTGAAAACTGGGCCATTGCGTCCGACCCTTGCTTTCAGTTGGAGTCACCTTAACACTCTTTTCAAAACGCTGCTCTGAAAACCGCTGACATCCTTACTTTGGAAGGATCTCGCGAGCCAGCAGCCGCAGCACCTCCACTGCTTCGCTCTCGCTCTCCACCGACCCACCGACCGCCCCCCACAGCCGGTCCAACTGCCTTTCGAGCGCTTGCAAAACCTCCCGGTTGATTACCCCCGAGGACTCCGCGAGAGTCGCGAAGATCTGCAGCGAAAAGCCTTGGGAAGCCGAACCTTGCAGCAAGCGCTCGCTCACGGCCGCCCACACCTGCCGGGCGCCATGCCAGCTGTCGCCCACCTCGCCACGTGTCACTCCGGTATTGGGTTCAGCAGTTCCGGGCGGTTCTTTGGACGGCGGCCCCCGGCTTATGGAAGCTAAGGCTTGAAGGGCTTTCTGCTGGAGGGGGTTCGGGGTGTGGGGATCTGAGCCGGGGGAAAAGAGGACGGAGACCAAGACGGAGATGCAATTTTGGCGCAGGGGGTTGGACTCGGCTTGTGAAAGCGGAGGGGGGAGGGAGGCGAGCGCTTCTAAGCCGTCAACTGGAAAGGGGAAGGAGCGGAAGCGTCAGGTGGCGGAATCTGAAGATGATCGATCGATCGATTGGAAACTGGCACAGAAGTCAGTCGCTAAATACTTCTGAGAAGCGTCTTCGGCATTTCTCTGAAACACACTGCGAGAGACATTAGCGGGCAAGTGCTTCCTGTCATTCTCGCTGGGGTGGTAACCAAAAGCTTCTCTTACTTCGAGCATTTTGGAGCGGCGGAACATGGAACTTGCTTTCCAATCCGAAATGTAGCAGCGCATTCAGAAAGCCCAAAGTCCAAGCGCCAAAGTGCTGCAATATACAGACCAGCGACCGGAGCAGTCTTAGACTCACCAGCCAGGGTCGCCAGGTCGTTGAGTTCCCCATCTGGCACTCCCCCTTCCGCTTGCCATGCCCTCACGACCCCCGAGAAGATCTCCCCCAGCGCCTCCGCTTTCCCGCCCAGAACTTCCTCCGCATCTAGTTCTCGCCCCGTTCCTCCCTCGAACCCTCTGCTGACGTCACCTTGACCGGTCCACACCAGCGTGCGTGCGGCGCCTGCCAGTTTCGAGAGAAGCCGCAGCCCGGTGTACCCCACGCTCCCGGCTGAAGTCACTCTCGCCATCACTGCTTCCGCCACCTGGCGGCACGGCCCAGCGCCAGCTGTCGCCACCGCAGAGAGGACACCGCTCCACCGCTCGACGGCCTCCCTTCTCCTGGCCTGGCCTTCTGAGTCGTGCGGTGCTGCGCTGAGCGCTTGGGAGACAGTCTGGTGTAACACCGGCCTTGGTTGGCTTTCGTCCAAGTGAGGATCGGTCTGAGAATGTGTGGATTGACCGCCATGGTTAAGGAGTTTGGTTAGCGGGATGCTAGTCTCGCCTGTGGCCGCAATAAAGAGGTCCCCCAGGGTCGGGTCTTCCAGGACAGATCTCACTAGCGGGTTTGACACCGCCGGTGCCCCCCTACCCACGCCCTCCAGCGCCCTCACGCATTGTGTCAAAGCTTCCACCGCGGCGTCCCCCACTTCCGCGCTCCGCTCCGGAACAGGGCCCACTTCTCCGGCCGATGATGCCTCCACGCTCAGGGGCAAAAGCTCATTTTTGAGTGCGGTCCAGAGAGGCCCTGTCTGGGAGGCGATCGCACTTCCGTAGGACTGCGCGCAAGCTCGCAATGCGCGCAGGGAGTCGAGCTTGGCGGACGTGAGACTGGAGCCCAGCTTCTCGATGAAGAGGGGGAGGGAGTATGGCGCGAAGAGGGGGGTCGCTGCTAAAGCTCTCTCCAGAGCCACTACCAGGTCCTCTCTGGAGATGCCCCGGGTGTCGTTCGGGGGCGGGTTGAATGACACCGGAAAGTACACCGCAATGACCTCAAACAGTTCCTCCGCAGCCTCCGCTAGCACAGCGCTCTGCCCCGTTACGAACACCTTCGGCGCGATCTCGACGAGCCTGAACGCCAGCAACAAGCAGCGGGGGTCCTTCTCGCCGTCGATTGCTGCGACAAGGCCGTCTAGAAAGTCACCCTCCAGGGCCAGAACGGCAGACGGGTGTGACTCTATAAGGGTTTCGAGGACCTCAAAGCTGAGCAGGCGGTCGACGGCGGTGAGGGATTGCACGTGCACGCTGTTCAGAACGGCCTTGGCGATCTCGACGGCATCGGTTGGGTGAAGCGCTCCCACTTCCGGGGTGCGCTTGAGCAGGGCCAGGGAACCTGTGAGCGCCCCCCGGAGGGAGGGGAAGTCGGCGAGGCGGGAGGCGAAGAACTCTGCCAGGCTGTGTATGGCGGTGTCCTGTAAGGGACCAAAGAGTTCAGTACACTTGTGCTGGACTCAAAGCTCACAACACATTTTTGGTGTTGGGGGATTGGTTATGGTAAGCGGGTGACCAGCTCCTGAAGTGGTGGTAGTGCTTTGATCAAGCTGCAAATCTTACCTATGGTGCGCTTTTCGAGCAAGAAGGACTCGATGACTCACATCGAAGCTGGCACTTGCTGTGCCAGGCCAATCAGATTCTGTGCTTTGGTCAGGATCAAAAGAAACGCAAATAGATGTTGGGCAAACAATTGCAGAGGTGGATGGGAAAATTAGGTTGTGAGTCTAACTGAAAGCTAGTGCATGTACAGCAACTGCAAAAGGGGCCAGACATGCCCCAAAAGCCCAAAAGGCACCGTCAATTACTTTCATCACCCCAAGCCACTCCACTCATGATCTCAGGGATGTGTATCTGGCAAGTGTTGTGCAATTGAACTGGATCATACTTTTGTCATAGGAAAGGAGCACCTACCATGCAGGCAGGCTTGAATGAATCCTGTGTGGACCAATGCAGCATCAAAACTTGCCTCTGAATTGCAAGTTGGATTTTAAGAGAGGATCAGGTGAGGTCCAGAATCAAAGTACAGCAGAAACAAGTAGTGGCAACACATGCAATGCGATGGTCAAGCCAACAATGACATACAGGCCGAGCATGACGGAAACAATGGTCATGAAATACTGAAAAGTACCGCTTGCTTCAATAGGAACTCTGAGTCTGTCACTCTGCGCAACAATGTCAGACAGACCCTGCCCTTTGTCAAACGAACTATGCCCAAGATTGCGTGGTGCACACAATTTCGAGTAACAGCTTTTTCGAGACTTGTTTACATTTCAGTGGAAGGGCTCGTTTGAGTCTGATTGACTTATCATGACTGCTAATATTGCACCACCACCACCCAGACCAGTTGGGAGGGCAAGCATGCCGGTGGGAGAAGCAGGGGAAAAGCTAGCAACCAACCCATGGGGGTTTCTTACAATGCCCACAGAGAGGACTTGCAACCACAAGTTTTTCCGATCAACGCAAACAGATGCCTTTGCCCACGATTAGGAGATCCAAAACTTTCCAAATATCAGATGAAACCACGCGATAGCTGCCCATATCAAGCTCTGCCGGCGTGGCGCCAGCTGTCAAAAGCAGAAACCTCATTCTATAAGCACACCACCTCAACAAAGCCCATAGGAGCATTCCAAGCGAGACGCTGGCTTTCACACTCACCTGGAGTGGTACGTCTGGAATGCCTTTGATCACCCCCGCCAACAGCTGGCATGCCCGCGCGCGGATCCCATTGTCCTCGGTCGTCAGCTGCTCCGCCAAACTGCCCACCAGCTGCGGAACGCTCAGCCGTTCCTGGCGCACAGCATCGAGGATCTCTGTCAATGCTGCATTGTGCACCTCTCCAGGCAGCTCGGGGTTCACGAACTCCTGCACCCTGGCCTGGAGGTCCGCCATTTCGTGAAGAGCAGCCTAGAAATGCAGCCTGCAGGTCTTCAACGCCCTTTGCAAGGTCCTGGCAAACAGTGCAGACTCGGATCATTCGTGAGCTGCGCGCGGGAAATGACTCTCTTACCCCGGGGGATGGGGAAGGGAGGCGGGGGGGGTGCGGGGGGGCACTAGAGCCCCCCCGCCTCTCGAACGTTGAAGTCGCCCGGGAAGTGACCCCGGGGGAATGGGTGCCAGCTGTCTGTGAGCGCCCATATCGAGTTTTAGCCTTCTTAGTTGATATTTCTTACTGCCCGAAGCCATGCACATCGAGGGGATTTGGTCTAGTGGTATGATTCTTCCTTAGGAATTAGTGGCGTCGCCGTGACGTCAATGAATGGAAGAGGTCCCGAGTTCGATTCTCGGAATCCCCCCCCAATCGCATCTGCGAAAAGCAGACTCCTTTTTGCGGTCCCATGTAAAATGGATCCCTCGCACATTGTCTTTCGCTGCCAAATGCAGCTACAGTAGATGAGATCGCCTCGCGTGTCTTCGTGGAATGGCGCTCTGGACCGCTCTGGACCGCTCTGGTTGTCCGTGGCTTCTTCATTGAGGAAGGTTACAGAGGATTCCTATGTAGAATTTCATTGAAATTTGCGCTCATCGGTGAGGAATGCTTTTAAAAACGTGTGTGGTGCATCATCTGCTTTAGTCTTCTTGTAACGATTACGACTGGTTAAGCCTAACCTCGTTCTCGACAGG